CTCATTTTTTATGGGAGGCCGTTGTACATCCACTTTTCATTGTTGGAGTTTGTCTTGTTTGTGTTAAGAGGGTATTTCAGGGGCAGTACCCAGCTGCACTGGACTGGGGACTTCATGGTAATACAGTCTGCCCTAAGGGAAATGGAAATGCTTCTGCTGTGTGACAATAGTTTCTGTCGTTTCTGTGCCAATGACCAATTATGTCTGTACAGAAAATGGCTTCTCTGAATGTGCCTGTGGCAAGATGGATGGTAGACAGGACATAGGGCTGAGAAGGGCAGAGTCACTCTAAAAATCAATAGCAAACAGAACTGTCTGTGCTAGATATTTTGTTCCTCATCCTGTCTCCTGGGAAACAGAGCAGATGCAGGATAAGGACAGATGATCTCCCTCCCTGGGGCCCATCTCTAACCTAGCCTACCCACACTCAGTATATCCCCTGTATTTAGGGGATGTGAAAGGAGGCCTTAGAAAGTAGACTTATAGGTGTCTATTTCTGAAGCAATTCCTCCTGCATTTGTGTAGAGGTTTTTTATTGACCAGTATAGGTATAAAAAAAAAACAACAGTGAGGGGATGAACTAAGTCTGACAAGTTTGGCAGACATTGTTGCATCACATCATATTCTGAAGGTTTTCCTTATGCCAAAGACTAGATTAAATTTGGGTAATTTATGCAGCAACTGGCTTAGAAGGCTCCTAACCTCATTGGTTTGTAGGTCATTACAGATATTCTAAGGCTTCGATTTTACTTTAGAGGACAAACATAAATAAGAAATTAAAGCAGGACTCCTTGGCCTTTGACTTTGGTGGCCAGCTGGGCATAAGAAAATTCAGAGTACACCTTGTAGTAATTTCCTTGAAGGAAAAAATCTATGCTGCCCTGGTTATCTATGACAGCATTGTCACCTAAAACACCTGGACTGTTGGAGGTGTTTTGATTACAGAGAGCAGTTCATTCTGCCACACCAATTAACTACAGCCTCCTGGGAAAGTTCTTGGGAGTTGTTGAAACATACCATATGCAGTACTTTAGATTTTGAATCCATGTGTTTTAACACAAGATTAATCCTTAATATCTAAAATAATTATTTTAATGAAAACTCAAATGGAAATATATTGAAATTGTTCCAAGACATATATAGAACAGTTTTTTATCAAAGTCTACCTATTGAAGATAATGTAGCTGCAAACAGGAATTGACACATGCCTCAGTTAAAACTAAGACAAAGCTGGGAACAACTGATAAATATAAATTAGCCATGAAAGTGAAATGTACTGCCTACACAGTGTTGCACTTCATATTACATGCTGAAGGGCTACAAAGTACACCATCACCATATGTTTGAAAGCTGCCATGACTCACACAGAAAAGGCTGATGAATAACACTATCTTCCTTCCCCAGTGTATAACACTGGCCAGAAATCTACCTTGTAAATGGTTCCATTGTGGGCAGCAGTTTAACGTGCCCCACATCCTTGTAATTAACTACATAACTGTAAAATGGTGCTGCCAGGTTTATTGTGCACCAATGCAGAAAGTACTCTAAATTCCTTTAAAGGATGGTTCACACATTTGTCATTTCCCATCCCACTCATTTTGCAGCCAAAAGAGGCTGGAATGCTGTGTTAACCATATTTTTTATTAATTTCACTTCTTTTCTATCTCTTTTTAGTTATGAATTCTGAATGAATATTCATATGAACACTCATATGAATTTGGTTATTAATTTTTGGTTATGAATTCTGTTGGGTAATGCCCAAAACCAAAGTCCATATTGTAAACAAGTGAGATTGCTTTTCTAATTTACATGTAAACACATAATAGCTATGAATACTGAAATGACATTGTTAATTACATACAAAATTGAACATTGAGTGCTAGGTGGCTGTTTGATAATACCTATAAATTATAGACTCAAGTCAGTAAGTAATAAGCAGCTTTGTTTCTTTTAGAGAAACTGTGAACCTCATGATTTAAAAGCCTGAGAAAAATATTCCTGAGATGGAAAAGTGCTCTGCACAGTGGCAGCTCTTCGGCCACCTTGTCCCAGCACCAGCCTGTTTTACTCAGTCCTCTGGTACTCAGATTTAGGGCTGAGATACCATGGTAGTTTAGATGTGCTCAGCAAGCCCTCAGGTGTCCCACTGAATAGACCCCTTTTTGCCCAGCAGCAGAAGCAGCACCAGGAGAGAGGCAGCAAACAAAATTAATTTTGAGCATCTCTTGTAAATTCAAATTGCTCTATAATATCCTATGGCAGAACTGATTTTTTTTCTTTAAAGTGAGCTGGATTTCTTCTTTGGCACAAATTGGTACCCGTGGCTATTTACTCATATGTCAGCTTAGTATTTTGTTCTGTTTTCCATGGTGGAATTTTTCATGAGGCCTGAAGAAACTGGAGTTTTTCCAGACATGACAGTAAAAGTGAAATGCTATTTTGATAAATGTGAAAAGAAGATTGATAAATTCAGAAGACATTTTCTTACATATTCATTGGAACTTAGTTTGCATTTTGTCTTCCATTCTTATAAAATTTTGAACAAATAAATGTTTTGTCCTAAGTATTTATTGTAGAGCTACTAAGGTCAGAAATTACTTGACTTAGTTTGTTGCAGAATATTTATGCTGTGTCATACCAGCTATTTTCTATATGACACTCCAGGATAACACAATCATTGGAAAGCAATGAAGGCAGTCAGACTCTTTTGAAATTTGAAATTCATTGATTTTGTCTTCTTAAATAGCCTTAACTACAAAGTCT